GTCTTGATTTACTTTTGTGCACAACTCGAGTGACAGGTCTCGTCATCATGTTAAAAGCTTGCTTCATCTGCATTTCACTATGAAATATTCAGTTCACTCAGTCAGAGAAAGGTTGATTTACATAAAAATACAGCTCACCAGAACAATTAATGTTTCGCGTCTCGGCTCTGACATCATGGCTCCCTGTGGAGAGCTACAGAGAGGGAGCTATGGGGGATTAGGGAGTGATGGTGGCAGATATATCGTCTCTCCAGAGAACACAGTCAGAGCCTACAGGTGGAGGCTGATTAAAGCTAAGCAGGCAGCAGCAGCTGCTGCAGTAGTTGTGGACATTCACTTGCATAACAATACACCAGTGGCACAGTGGCAAGTGATGCATGTTATATATATTTGTATCAGGGCAACTTTAATTGACTGCCTCAACTGTTTTGGAGGCACAGCTGTCCTGAAAATGTTAATTCCACATATGCGTAGCTGCGATATCTGCATGATTTATAATTTTTTCACCTGTTCAAGTAAGCAGATGTCTGTAGGAAATACTTGTTACCACTGCATGATTTATAAGCGAGTGGGTCTTACGGATCTACGGCAGATTTAAGAACACATCTGTCTATACAGAGACTCTGTGTCAAATGCTCAAGGCACATTGTCAAAAATTAAGCATCAGAAGTGATGACGCACATGAGATGAAGTATGACCACCATCTATGTGAATATGTCTGGATCTTCTGCTCAGTATTCAGTATTATTTTCTTACATTGCATACTGTAAATGGAGGGGCACTCAGAGAGAGAAAAGACCTCAGCCAAGGCCAGTGTCAAACACCTAACAGTTGAGTAAGATTTGAGAAATCTGAAGCACCTAGGAGGGTAAATAGCATCTAAAAATCCTTTTATGTAACTTGACTATTCAGTCACTGTAACAATTAAAACCATGCCCCCGATGTTCAATGTGGAATAATAGGTGAATAGTCACTGTCCAGATGTTATAATGTCTGTTAAAAATGTCGAGAGCAACTGACTCAGACATTTGCATTCTCACATAAAGCCCCTTCATAAAATTTAAAGAAATAAATCTGGACTTGAGTGCATGCAGAAAAAATTATATTAAATCATCTGGCCTGAATTGAACAGGATCTTGGCCAATGACACATCCCTCCACCATGTTTGGTGCAAATGAGCCTTTTTGTGTAATCCTGCAGACAAATAAACTTGGTGGAGGTACTGACTGACATATTGTTATCACACAAAAGAAGAATATTTATGGCATATCCATTATTTGTGTGTTTTTGGCTGCTACCTGGTCATACTCTATGTAAAACTGACCCCAGCCTGTTATTGCTCTGTAGCAGAAGGAAAAATGATCCCTCTGTGCCACTTGATGCCTCTGCTCCTCGTCTTGTCATCTTGTCCCTGCTCAGCCAACAGCTGACTAATGTGATGGCTTGCCGTCATAGCTGGCCTTGTTCACTTGCAAACAAGCCACAGAGAGTATTGTGTTACTGCAGCTCATTTTGTGCCAGACAATGTATCACCCTTCCTTTTCAAACATGTGCTAACTCACCCCCCCTCTGCCATGTTTCAACTTACCCACTTGCACATGTGTCACATTGACTTAACAAACCTTTGCCTTTTACACAATCATGATCTGAATTGAGATCTTTCATTACAACTTTGAAATGTACTTTTAATCTGCAAATATTAATAAATAGTATTAATCCCATGTTGTCAGCTCCGAATGGCACTATATCCTTAGTGGGATAGAATGTTAGCTCCTCAGTCACCTCTTTCTTATATTTGCTGCTTTTACCACAATTTTTCAACTGGTTTAATGCCTCAGTCAATGATGTCTTTTGGAAGATACGGATGATCGGTGTACACTACTGCCATTGATTCCTTTATTTGCTCCAGGGTCTTTTCTGTCATGTTGCTATTTTACATTTTATAAATGCATTACACATAAAAGAAACCCTATGATAGAGATGTTATTTTGGGAATGTAGCATGGATCCCTGTTGGGAGTGTAATTCTCATAAAATCTTATTTGGTTGGAAAATTATTTAAATTCTTCTCGGTCAGTCGAAATATATACAATCATAAGATAACCGTCAGCCTCCCTCTTTTAAAGGAGGATGGGTTGAGCCCCGTCAGACCCTTAATGAGTATTTTAGAGTATTACAGTCTGTCCTTGTTTTGAAGTGAGATCTAATGCTTTTCCTTTGGGATTTCCATGTTCTAGATGAATGTTTTTTTTCTATGGTAATACCTTGACTATTTTTGCCAATAACAAAGAAAAATCTGGAACATGTCAATCAGTTGCATAGTAGTGGTGCCACTAATCCCACTCGCCATCTGAATAATTCATAGTCAATTAGGGCCGAAAGGCTGAAGCCGTCTTCATGGAGTAAGTGCGTTTTCAATGATTCATTTCATGAACTATGCTAGGGGTCTCTTAATTGTTGTTTACTGCTCACTATCCGACCACATGTTATTTTTATGCCATCGTGATTACTCCCGGCAGCGCTCAGAGTGCTTGGGAAATGAAGTCCATTAAGGGGTCCTGAGAGCTGTTTTTCCTGTCAAGTGCCATGCAACGTTTCCAGATTCAAACCTTGCTGCACGGGAACAATAAATCTTATCCAATCTCGAGTGTCAGTCTGTGGAAATGAGACACGCTAAGAGACGCAGGTGGTACTATTTTATGGTTCTACAGTGCAGCAGAAATACCTGTTGTGTTGTACAAAGATTCCTTTTTAATAGGATCCCTGGAGGACAGTTTAAATTTTAGAGAAAAAGAAATCATGGATGGGACGTTAAGAGCCGCACAGCTGAAAGCAGACCATGCCAAAAATGATGGTGTCAGAAAAGGAGTAGTTTTGTCTTCTCTTTGAGCTGCACTAGTTTTTTTGTGGCAGAGAGAGTGAGAGGACTCAGTGCCTGAGGTCACTGCTGACACAGTATGACGAGCCGTAAAAGCAACCTGAATTCTTGTGTGACAGACGACTACTTTGACAATAATAGGCGGCTTGATCTGAGAAAAGCGTCACTACTCTCTGGCCTTTTTTTTCTGGCACCTCATGCCTAAGCATATCCCAGCAACCCCCAAACAGAGGATCCCTCCTGTCCGTCAAAGTATCATCTGATGATTTAACTCTTGCTCACGTCAGACATTCACGCAGGAATCTAAACGTTGCTTCTGGTTATTTTGCCTCTGGCCTGAAGGATGCTGTCAGCTGCTGCACTAAAATTCAAACAGAGTGAATACGAGGTGCTCAGCAATTACATTTCCATAACAACGCTTTTATTCTTAAACTCAGAGATTAAATCTGACATGTTGCAGAAAAACCAGAGCTAATTTTTTGTAGCTTTATAAACTATAAAATACCAGATTATACCTCCAATATAACGCCTCATATTTCTGCACATTCCTCACCAATTATTAAGATGGGCCCCCATTTAAATTTGTCACTCACTTAAGGAACTGTTTTTCCTCAACGATAATTCCTGATAAGTGAAGTAAGACCCTGCAGAATCCTGGCAGTTATGCATTTCCATGAGGTTTTATTTGGCCATGCAGAGCTCGCACCCTCTTTCCACTAAACTCATTCATTTGACAGTAATTCAGTTCAACGGCTTTAAAGTAACAGTGACAGCAAAACACTGGGCGTGTGTGTATATTTGTTAGAGAGTGCGAGGAGGAGACCATTTTATTGCAGCTTCTGCGATATTTCTAGTGACTGATTGCAGCTCTCATTGTCACTTCTGTGCATTCAGCTTTGTTGACACCTGTAAGATGGGACGGAGGTTAAGTTTTAGTTAGTGCTGGTTAGGGTTGAATCATCAGTCTTCCCTTTATGTGTGTGCGTTTATGTTTACATACATATTTTTGATTGTATAAGACGCTTGCACATTAGACATGATAAGTTTTCTTCTTCTTTTTTCTCTGCTAATGACGCAGGTAAATCTAAGCTCTCAGGAGGCCTCTGCTTTCATTTCATTTTGGGTTCTACTCAAGGAAAGGAAATTTTATTAAGACATTGACTTCCCCAGCGGACCATACTTGATGTGAAAGTAAAACATAGTAATGTCAGAAGCTGGAACTGTTGCAAAGTCACTTTCTATTAATTGTGTTTATTAAAAGTGATTTAAAAAAAGTATATATTTAGGATATATGTGTTTATTATCTAAGTGGTTTTGGGACTAAATTCAAAAGCTTTGTCAGATGGGTGTGGTAACAATACTGAGGGTGACCTGCAGATGATTTCAGTAAACACAAATGGTTCAAATGAAACCATAATCCTTTGATAAGAACCAGATGTGATACAACTTTTACTTGGAGGAAGCCAGATGCTGTTTTTCATCACTCCCTCTTTACTCTTGTCCAAAATAAACCAAATGATTTTTATTAATAACGAGTTTGATACTTTATATGACTTTCAACATGTTTTCTACACTCATTAAAGATGTCAGCGTCAAAAGGGGGAAAACATATATTCATAAGGAGTTGACGTAATTTCATTTCTGCTTTATAACAACAGCAACAAGCTGAGTTTCTTTCGCTGTTGTTGTTGGCTGTGACTTTTCTCCTCTGTGGTTGCTAAGCTCACTTTGGCAGCCACAATCTGTCTCACCGGTGACCATGCATATACAACACTTACCTCACACAGCAACTTCCTGAACATCATTAAAAAGCCTATTTTAGGTAAAAAGCACATGCGTGCATATTTATTTTGTGTCATAGAGAGAAAGAAAATTACCATGAACGACAGTTGTGTGTGTTGACCAACCAATGTTAAGAATAGGTAAAGACGACAAGACATAAGTACATCATTAAGTGAACAAAAACTAAAAGGATCAAATGTAAACAATGTAACAAAGACCTGAACTTTGGCTCAGACCATTGTCCAGGCTCTTAGTTGTGAAACACCGTTAATTGAAACATTATCTTTCATCTGGAATACCCCATATATCTGAGAATGCTGTGTTTTCATCTTATTCTCACAGCTTGACTGTTTGGTTGAAGATATCCTGCCACAACACACCACTCAAGGTCTCCACCTGTGGCTGTGTGCCATGAAGCCCTGAGAAACAACTGCGCTGCGTTCCTCCTCGACTTGGCAGCACCAAGTGGCAGCTCCAACGTGGTGGGAATCACAGGATGGCCACAATAGCCACCGCGGTGGTGCACTGACACTGTTCAACTCTCCGCCCCTCATAGGTCTGCCTGCACCACCAGCAACCATAAACATGAGCTCTCACAGTCAACCAGGTAAGATGTAAAAAATTAAAAATACAGTATTTCACAGTATGTCCTTGTCTGTGTATGTGTGATTGCTTTGATTTGGAAAAGAAATGCCTGATGTTGGAATAATAATAGCATTTTGCTTTATGGATTAGGATAATGATGATGTCAATGGAATTTGCTTAACAAGTATAGATTTTTTTGTGATGTAGATCAGGATTTAAAATGAACCTGTCATCTGTCTATCGTGTATGCTATGTGTTTTATGAATGGAAATTGATGAAAACCACATTGTTACTAAACAAAGAAGCACCTTTTCTGGCTTATTTTTGCATGCAGTGGTTTTTAGTGATCTGGTAAATATAGTGTGTTACTCTGATGATCAGCAGTGTCATTGTTTGTACGATATATGTATGTGTCTTTTCGTAAGTATGGCTTAAAACCTAGTTTACTTCTGATGACATCTTTTTTTTGTTTAATCAACCAGGCAAGTTTAAATAATAAATACAATTAATTTATTTACAAAGATAAGTAAAAAAGTACAAGTGTAGCTTATTCTCCATTTTGATTATTTTAATAATTTGATTACACTTTGATTTAGCATTTTCTACAAGGGTTCTTCAAACTTCCAAGGAGTGACTGAATTCGGTGAAGTCAGTTGGCAAAACCATTTAATCCAGCATGTCGCATTGTTTCAACGGCACTTACACAGTGGTATCTGAGTGGAGGCACATGAGTGTCTGAGTTCATTTTTAAGGGTTGGTTTAATTGCTTTGCACTCATGTCCCAAGAAATACAAAACTGCTAAGAAATTTGAATTTACCCAAGCCAAGCCAGTTGTTTTTTACTTTCGTCTGTTTGTTTGTTCGATGATAGATTGAATACGGTGGAGTGAGTTGTCAGGCACCTGATTCCTGTTCCTGCTTTATTCTCACATAGAATCACTCATTTTACTCAGGGGCACTGGCAGGAAATGTTCCGGAAAGTTTATTGAGCAACTGACTCAAACTATTTTGTTCTCAAGGAAATATCCAGACTTTAGTGCGTGTCTGAAGTTGGATCCCTAAACTGAAGATCATGAGAGAGACACATTTTAACACTTTGGCAGCACTCTAAGCAATTTTTATTTTCAAATACTTAATTCAATGAAAAAATGCAAATCCTCCACCAAGTTGTATAATCCTGCAGATGAATGAACAGACTCTGGTGAAAACATAACCTTCTGACTGACATCTTACATGATATCTTACTCACATACAGCCCCACCAGAAAATATGGCAATTATCACAAACCGGGATTCTCTCTTCCAGGATCTGTCATCCACCTTACTTTTCCTGATGTTTTAGGTTTTCCTGTGTGTATCATCTCAGTATATGTACCAAGATATTTAGGCAGTTGGCTCAAGCTAACCTGACCAACTCCCAAAGGATAGGCGGTTCAGATAATGGATTAATGGATGGATATCGTAAAGTGTGATGATTTTACTTTATTTAAAAAAAAAACGAATACAGAGTCTTAACTGCTCATGAAGGATACTGCACTCTGTCTCTCTTTGCATGATTGAAAACACTCTCTCCAGTATGCTTGACCTCAACCACTGAGAAATACCATGTGACCTGCTCAAAAACCCTCTTTCTTTAATCAAACCCAATTCTTGGGTCAGATTTGTATTTTCCAGTTTTTCATCTGCTGACCAAAATGGACAAAAGGCCAACTGTGTCCTTCTTTACCCATCATGCACTGGCTGTCATGGTCGTATTCAACGTAGTGATGTCATAGCCATTGATTAATTGTTGTGCTGCCATTGGTCCTGTGTGGCACAATGTGGATTGCTGGCAAAATCTCCTTTTGTCTTGAACTGTGAGTAGAGACACGGTTGAGTTGTGGCCAGGGGGGTTTGCGTCAGAGTGGATGTTTCAGGCTGTTCCGATAGCTCTGGCACAGGCCAGAAGGTATCTGTCATTTTCTTCTTCCTTTTAGTGAAATTCTTTGTTATGTAAGTGGAACCTTGGAGTGGGTCATATTTTCCTAAATTCTGATCATTTCCATGCTTCTTCTATTCTCATGTCTCCACAATGTTTATTATCCTCAGAGTTTCTGAAATAACTTCAAGGTGGAGGAGCACAATTTCCCCTTTGTCAGTTTTGAGCTTTCACTGACAAAAAAAATCGATCTTTATGTTATGGAAAAATGGTCCCGACCTGGATCAACAGTTGTCAGAGTACTCACCCAAAAAAGAAAGGAGCCTTATTTTACTCACCCATCATGTCTTATTTGATGGATAAACCTAATCCCACTTTTGGGTAAGATATTTAATCTGATCTATAACCATATTCCCCACACAAAACCTTTCACAACAGTAGGTGAGAGATACTTCTGTTGAAATTCTGTATTAAGCCAAAACACTTAAGGTTCCAGATTTTTCTCCACCTTGAAGAGCTCCGAAATTAGGTATGACGCTTTCACTTCTCAATTTCACCTCCTTAGCAGTTCATTTTACCCTCGTCGCCCTCCAGTCTGTGCAGTAAGGCTGAGCCCTTTTCCATATATGACTGATCATCATTTCCTATTCTTAAACCACCGTTTTAGAGCACTGAAGGGCCCTTTGTCCGACTTGAACTTGGGTGGCAAAGGCTGGCATGTTGACATGCTACTTGGCATTTTGGAACTGGGTTTATGGCCTTGGAGCCAGAGCTAGAACACACACACACACACACACACACACACA